TTTGGTGAAATAAATGATCATTAAAAAACTTTCCAACTATCAACATGATTGTATTTTCTTTAATCTTTGGATCATATTCCTGAATTGTTTTAAAATCAATTTTCTTATAAAAATTTGTTCTTTTGGGATTTGTTTTATAGTACTAAAGCATAGAGCACCATTTTTTTACACAAAACCATCAATTAGTAAAAATGAGTCATTGGCGATTTATTTATGCTATTAACTATTTAAATAAAATTTTTGGATCCTCCATTAAAGGTCTCAGTCATGCGTGTTTGAGTAATTATTTGCTATTAATTCTGTACTCTAGAAACAGATGAACTGAAATGACAATTAATTTTATCAAAATCACAAAATTAGATATAACAGATTAAATAGATACCTGATACCAGTTAGCAAAAGACATTATATGATGAACCTGGTGGAAAATAAAATTATACATCTAAATGGTTTTTTTTTGTTTTTGTTTTTTTACATGCCAATAAACATCTACAACCTTGTCACATAAGAAAATTTTATTTAAAATTCATTGTGACTTACTAATTTGCCACAACAGATTATGTTCTTATTATGTAAAGCAAGAATCCGTTATGACAAGAATTTAATATAGTCCGCTGTGACAAAGGTTTGTTTGACTGCAATTATCCCAAAAGTTTGATTGGTAATGATGATGATTACAATGATGATGATGATGATGATGACAAATAACAAATAACAAATTACAAGAATGATAAGAAGATCCAATTTTCTTTAAATATTTTGTGTAATATGTGTCATGTGAATGTAAATAAACTCCTATCAATTAATGAGTTGTTGTCATCATTATTGTTATTGTTGTCGGAGGTGTGTCAATTAATTTGAAATGGGATCAAAATTATTAATATTAATGAACGATGGTTTAATATACACTCAAGCCTTTCATTATCATGTTTTTTACTATAATATCTTCAGGACAATCAGGACAATGTAATCTTTTTTTGCTTTAATAATGCTAACTGACTATAAATTGCATCACCCAAAGTACGAATAGTACCTCCATTAATTTATAAATCGTTTATTAAAAGGATTATTTCGACCATGCAAAAATGAAAACCCAGGACATTTGATTACAATTATATGGTTTTTGATGGTGCGGGCGAGTTTGTTGATGATGGCAGTGGTATATATAATATAACCATCATAACCTACACTACACATTACCTGCCTGATTGTATCTGATGTCTTATGTTTCACATAGTCGAAGTTTGCTGTGTCAGGCCTAAGTAGAATTATCCAAACGACTCCCACTCAATCACTAACTATAACGGCGGAGGGGACCAAGCGTACTTAATAACGAACAGTCGCGTTACCACGGACTTTCCTATGTCAATAGCCCGGATATTCGAATATATTCATTCATTGCGAGCAAGCTCAAGTAATGAATAGAAAAGGTCGTCCGTCACCTTCTCTTCCCAAAAACTTGCTCATATTAAAAATTGTTTACAGAAATAAAGAAATAAATATTCTTTAAAGTAGACGCATCGCGATATCGCCGAAAAAGTTCATAAACAAAAAAAAACTGCTCTTAATCGTGTTATCTTAATATTAATATGGTTAATATGAAAAAATTTCTTTTTAATGAAATTTGATGCGGGCTAACCAAATCTGAAAATTAACTGCAGATAGTATAGCAAGGCGCAGTCGAATTTTTCACATGAAAGTTAACTTTAAAAATCAAAACTAAAAATAGCAAAAATCCCTTTCCACAAATCTTTCACCAATAATTTTTTAATTCAATAGATGATATTAATATAATAAAGATAATATTAAAACCTTATTCTCGAGTGGATAAAGTTTTTTCCGGTATTAATATCAAAAGATAATAATAATTTTTATCCAAGTTTGGTTAAATTATGATTATTAGAACCAAATTATTAATTTCATACATGGTGAAAGTCATTTAATAAAATTCGAAATTCGAAAAATCGCAAGTTTTCGAAATTTGAAATCGAAATCGAAATATTAAAATAGAGTCGTCGAAATTCGAAATTAAAATAGTAATAGTAATAGTAATAGTAATAGAGTCGAAATTCGAAATTAAAAAAATCGAAATTAGTATTAGTATTAGTATTAGTATTAGTATTAGTGTTAGTATTAATGTGAATTCGCAATTCACATATGTGAAATTCAAATTAGCCAATCAGAATTTCACCCCACTCTATAATATTTCAATCGAAATGTTGGAACCGTGATCTAAACCTACTTCTGCCATGTATGATTTTAATCATTGTTCAAAAAATGTAAACGTCACACGAATTTTAATTTTTTAATTATTTAAGATTGATAAATCGATAATGTAAAAAAAATATTACACTTAAAATTACTTAAATTTTAAAAAATTCAAAGAAAATAAAAAATGACTTATCCTGAAAATGTTGGAATAGTAGCTATCGAGATATATTTTCCAAAGAGAGTAAGTTAATTATAGAAAAAAACCAAATTTTTTAGAGTAACAATATTGAGTATTTTTTTATGTTTTTTTTGATTTCAAGTGTATTGAACAAGCAGAACTAGAGAAATTTGATAAAGTATCGACTGGTAAATATACAATTGGCTTGGGCCAAACTAAAATGGGATTTTGTGACGACAGAGAAGGTAATTATTAATTATTGGCTAAATAGAAAAAAAAGACGCATTGTCTTAAATTACAATTAATATGTATATATATATATATATATTATATTTTTTAGATATTAATTCGATTGCATTAACTGGTAAATGAACCAAATAATAATTGATTTTAATTGAGTGAGGATCACCTTGAATGATTTCTCATTTTCCTCCTTATCGTTATTGCTTTCTAGCTGTCCAAAATTTAATTGAAAAATACAAGATTTCTTATAAAGATATTGGTCGCGTTGAAGTTGGTACAGAGACAATCAGTAAGTATTAAATATATCATATTATTATTATTGTTAGTGGTAGTGTAGTAATTGTTGTTGTTGTATATGCTACTATAAAGATGATTTGTATTGCACATTTTACAATTTATTTATATAAACATTTATATTTTTACATATATATATATTTTACGTGTATTAAGTTGATAAATCAAAATCTGTAAAAAGCGTGCTGATGCAGCTTTTTGTTGATTCGGGTAATACTGATGTTGAAGGTATCGATACTAAAAATGCTTGTTATGGAGGTAAAAAATATTTAAAATTTTAAAAATCTACATAAATACATATAATTTATTGGGAAGGAAAAAAAAAAATATATATAAATATTCCTTCATATTATAAATCTCAATTATAGGTACATCGGCACTTTTCAATTCATTGGATTGGGTAGAGTCATCATCTTGGGATGGACGATATGCTCTTGTAGTCGCTGGTGATATTGCTGTTTACGCATCTGGTCCTGCACGTCCTACTGGTGGTGCAGGATGTGTTGCCATGCTTATCGGTAAAGATGCTCCAATTGTTTTTGACAGAGGTAAACTCAATGCTATGGTTTTTTGGGGTGGGCGATTTTTGTAATGATTACGTTTATAATTTTGTTTTGTACAAATGTAAAATGTAGGGTTACGTTCAACTCATATGGAACATGTTTGGGATTTTTGTAATTAATTAATTATTATTTATTATATAATTTATTATTTATGTAATCGTTTATTCATTATTTATTAATATTTATTTTTTTTTTTAGATAAACCAGATTTGACATCGGAATTTCCAGTAGTAGATGGTCATTTAAGTAATTCATGTTATCTTAAGGCTCTTGATATTTGTTATAACAGATATATTGAAAAATTGGTTCAAAAGGTGATTATTGATTCATGATTTAAGATTTACGATTTATTAAAAAATTTTATATAATAGTATTACTTCGACTAATCCACACATTTGCATTTACATTTAATAATTATATTATTTTATAGGAGAAAGTTGAAGATCCTACAATAAAATTTTTTGATTACGCTCTTTTCCATTCACCATATTGTAAATTGGTACAAAAAAGTTATGCAAGATTATTTTATAGTGATTTTAAAAGAAACCCAACGCTCGAAGGTTTTGAATCTGTTCTTCAATTCCAAAATATCGATTATGAAGAATCATTAAGATCAAAAGAACTTGAAAAGGCTCTTGTTGGAATTAGTAAATCATTTTATCAAAGTAGGGTACTACCGACTCTTTTGCTTGCTACTCAAATTGGAAACATGTATTGTGCATCTTTGTATGGAACTCTTGTATCTTTATTATCAAGTGAAGATGTAAAAGATTTGGTAAACGATTAATATCTATATTGATGTTTTTCAATATTTGAAGTTATTAAATTAAATTTTTTTTTAAAATTAAAAAAACAATAATTTAGATTGGTAAGCGTGTTGCAATGTTTTCATATGGATCTGGTCTATCATCATCATTTTTCTCATTTCAAATTAAGAAGTCTGTCAAGGATATTAGTGAAAAATTGAATATAAAAAATAGATTAGACTCAAGATTGATAGTTCAACCTGAGAAATTCGCTAAAGTGATGAATTCAAGAGAAGAAACACACGGCGAAAAGGATTTTGAACCTAATGGAGACAATAGTTCGATAGACGAAACTATGTTTGAAGGAACTTATTATTTAGAAAAAATTGATTCGAAATGGAGAAGGTTTTATAAACGTAGATAATAAATTAATCAATTAATTAACGTATTTAAATTTGAAGAATGGATTAATGTCCTTCATTTATTGAATTACTATGTATTTATTTAAAAGTAATTTATTTGATTTATTGTCCCTTGTTTGTTTTTAATAAATTATTTAGAAATAATAATATGTTTTTATATTTATTTTTTAAAGGAGAGAAAAAAGTACTGAATGAATGAATGAATGATTGAATGAATGAATGAACAAAAATGACTAATTAGTTTTTAGAAAAATAATTCGAGGAAAAAATTCACAATTAAATAATATTTAATAATAATGAGTTATAATTTTTTTTCTAATAAAAAATAAATAATTTGTTAAACTTAATTGAAATAAAAACATATTAGTATGAGAACTCCAAGCATAAAAAGAATTCTTGATAAGAATGCTTGTTGTTCCGAAGGAGGACCATTAGCAGGCGGAAATGTCTAATTATAATTAATGATAGAAAATTTTTATATTTATATACAATATAAAAAATCAAGAGATATTAGAAAAACTTACTATTTGTGGGCTAAAAACTGTAGGAAAAATTGTACTGACAGAAATAGAGAAGTGTGGCATTAGAGTTGTTGAATGAATGTTTAATCCAGGGAAAAACTGTGTACTAGGTAGATTTGGATCTCTTTGTGGCCGAGGTCTTTGGCCAGCTGGTCGATTAGGAATATCTGAGTTCTTTCTATATATGTGTGTGCGTGTGTGTGTGTGTATGCGTGTAAATAATATTTCATAGTATATAAATATAAATATATTAATTAACTCGTTAAATAATTAGTTATCAAGTACCTAGGATCCTTTGCTTCTTTTCCACGTCCATATACAGGTATCACTTTGTCTTGTCCACACCCTGCCTTACAAACTGGGCATAAAGGATTTAATGACTGTGCTTCCAACCACTTTTAAAAAAAATAATAATAATATGAAAAATTATTAACTATATTTTATATATTACAACAATAATAACTTTTAATATAGACATATAATTCTTGCTTACTTGATGTAGACAAGGCCAACTTTTTTTAATTTTAAATTAAATAAGTAAATAATTTATAATGTATAAATGTGTATAAATATATAAATATAACCTAAATCAACAAACCAAAATAAATGTCCACAAACTGTAAGAACAGGAGATCCAGCTGTGTCAAAGCTTTAAAAATGTATCATTATTAATATCTATTGAAACTTATTATTATTATCAAAAACATATATAATTTCTATTTATATAGTTACCAAATATTACATTCATATTCTGAAGAGCTATTTGAATTGTTATTCTCAGTGGTCTTACTTTGAGAATTTCTTCTAACTCCCCGGCTACTGCCTTCGCCTGCAGATGATGAGACAGAGGCTCCGGAAGTTGGTAATTCATTTGTTGTCAGGTTATTTATTAAAGGTGATGTTGCTGTTGTTTTTGTTGAACCGTTATTAATAGTATTAGTGGTATCAATAGTACTAGTATTAGTAGTAATAATAGTAGCTTTAGTACTATTAATATTATTATCGCTGACGTTAGTAATATTATTATTATTATTATTATTATTACTACTGCCACTGTTGTTATTATTTAATGAGGTGACATGACGTTGTCTTAAGGTATTGTTGTTATTATTGTCGTTTTTTGTACATCGATTATTATTAATTATTATAAAATGTCCATTATCATTGGTATTATTATTATTATCATTGTTGTCGTTGTCGTTGCTGTTGTTGTCATTACTGGAAATTTCGAATTTTTTTATACTTTTACTACGATCAGTCGAATCTTGATTAGCAAAAACAAGCGCAGCCGCTACATTCTCTTCCTCTCCAATCAACAGCTCCGAGGAATTAGTCAAATTTTTTTGCTCAGACTCATCCATCATTCCAATAATTCCAATTCCATTACCATTCTTTTTCTCTTGATCAAAAAAATTACTAGTGTTCAAATTTTCCAAAGAAGTATCGTTGTCATTAACAAGAATTGGTTCAGTTTCTAAACTATTGTCATTACTAATATTGTTGTTATTATTAATATTATCGTTAGAATTAACAATATTCATTAAAAAAAAATGTTTAGATATATATATATATATAAATAAAAAATAAATAAATTTTTTGAAGAAAAAAATTTTTAATCATATGATATAATAATTGTTATGACGAGTTTGTGTATCTCAAATGAATTTTCCGATGCAAAAAAATAGTAATAGTAATAGTAATAGAATCCAAATCCAATTTTGGATTTTAAACGCGACAACAATGATAAATTTCCACCAATGAAATCAATAGTTAATCAGTTAAAATTTAAATCATATAAAAAAAAATCTATTTAATTTTTTTTTAAGAATTCATTTAATAGTAACAATAGTAATAATAATAATAATATTCCATAAATATGGCTTATTCACAGGGAAGACAAACAATACATAAACTTAGTGGTATGTTGCCTAAAAGATGGTGGTAATAGCAAGGGACCATTTACAGGAACAGGTTTTTAGGAGCACTTGGTTTGGGAATAAATGCCAATTTATTTAATGGTGAGTCTTTTATTCATTTCTATTTATCATATATATATTAACTAACTATTTGTAATAATAATGGTATTCAGTTGATGATGGTCATAGAGCAATCAAATATACAAGGTTGTTTGGTGTAAAAGAAAAGTTTATAATGAAGGTGCACATTTCATGTTACCATGGTTTGAATCACCAATTGTTTATGATGTTGGAGCTAAATTAAGAAGTATTGCTTCTTTAACTGGAACAAAGGGTAAATTTACTATCATTTTTTTTTTTTTGAGAAAATTAACCACAAGTCCATTTTTAATTAGCAAATAAAAATTAATTTTGAAAAGATCTCCAAATGGTAAATATTACATGCCATGTATTATCAATACCAAAGATACAGGAATTGTCAACAATTTATAGAACCCTTGGAACTTACTACGATGAAAGTGTTTCTACTTTCTATTGTAAATGAAGTTCTCAAGTCTGTGGTTGCTCAATTCAATGTTTCACAATTAATCACAGTGTGAAAAGATTAGTATTATACATGTATTTAACAATGTGAACAATGTGAAATAAACGATTTAATTGATTGATTAATATTTAGGTATCAAGGCTAATAAGGGAAAATTTGATACGTCGAGCAGAGAAATTTAATGTTATTTTGGATGATGTGTCAATCACTCATGTTGCATTCTCATCAGAATTTACTCAATAGTTGAAGCGAAACAAATTGCTCAACAAGAAGCACAACGTACATTCTTCATAGTGGAGCGTGCAAAACAAGAAAATCAACCAATTATCATTAAAGCAGAAGGCGAGACCAAGTCTGCTGAATTAATTGGTGAGGCTATTAAGAATAAACCTGGATTTATTGAATTGAGAAAAATTGAAACTGCAAGAGAAATTGCTTCTATTCAAAATCGCATATTATTGGATTCGGATACATTATTGTTAGATGTTTCTGATCCTTCAATGTAAGCTCTTTCTTTCTATTTCTCTTTTCCTTTAATTTATTCAACATGAAATTAGCTAATAATGATTTCTAATAATTACTTGTGTATAATTGATTTCAGAAATGCTCCAAAAAAGAATAATCACTAATTAATTTCGCTTTTTATTGATATGTATTGTAATATTAAATAATTTAACACTGATTTTTTTTTTAAACACTAATATAAAAATGAACCATGGTTTTTTATGCAGTCTAAACATCTAAATATTTTAAGCATAAGGAAAATAAAGAAGAATTATTAAGTTATTACTATTACTATATATTACTATTATCATTTGAGCCACGGGAAATAAGGTTTGTTAGATACATAGCCACCGCCCATGTAATAGTTAAAAATATGAGCTCCCCAGTCCTTGAATTGGGTGTTATGTATATTAAAAAAAACATGTTGCTAAGGCAGATCTTTCTAGAGAGTACCATTTTATTAATAAAATTTTCTGCTTAAAAATAGGGCTCCGGAATAATATGATTAGAATTACAATTACTCAAAAACCAACAAATTGTACATGTATTCTGGGTTTTTTAAAAAATTCTTTGCTGCCGATCGTTATATTTGATTTTTCGTTTACTAACCTCTTTATGCACCTATTTCTTTAGTCGAAATCTTTTGTTAATTTTCTTTCGGTGCAAAGTAAAATTTTCTATAGTAATAGGCGTTCTTTCTCCGGAATTGCCGGGTTTTTGTTTTTCATCATTTTTCTTGTTCAAATTTAGTTATTTTGACCCTCTTTGCAAGAGTTGACCTTTTGTTTGGTTTGGATCTCTTAAATCGGGTATAAATTTTGTTTTATATTTTTGTGGTCGCGTCTTTTCTCTTAATAAAAGAGGGCCGATCCCCTTTTGATCGTTAATGATCAAACCTTTAATTTAATAACTCATAAACGTTTTAAATCCTTCCTTTCTTTTGTTTCCAAATTATCCGTCTTCTCTTCCTCCATTCATTACCGATTTCTTGATTTCTTCCTGTTTCTCGAAAAAAGCTGCATAGTTCATAGTAAGTGATTTGGTATGTTTCTATGGTGCTTCCATAATCCTAAGAACATTTCCAGTTTTTAATTATAAAGGTCATTTCTTCATGTTATCAATTTACTTGTAATTGAATAATGAGGTCGAATAATTTATCGGAAGGACAAATAAATCCCGATGATGATATCGTTATAATCACGTGATTTGAAGGGAACCAATCGGGTTTAAAAAACATGATAATATAACGGAACCAATTAGCTTATAAATTGGGCTTAAATTTTCAGTCCGTTATATATAGTAATAGAGAAAGACGCAGATCCGTTATAGGATGAGAATGAACTCAAAAAATCAATGATAACAAAAC